ATGTACAGGGTTATTCATTATATTTTGACACCCACATACAGCCTTAACTGCAAGATTTAGAAGAAAACATTAAATAAAAAAGTTGCATGGTTTATATACATATCATATACTCATACATATATATATATATATATATATATATATATATATATATATATATATATATATATATATATATATATATATATATATATATATATATATATATATACTCTCTTTTAAAATTAATTCTAGTTATACAGGGTGTCTCAAAAAAGGTGGTCCAGAAAATTGTAGGTATTTTTCGCTTTTCAACTGTCAATATTTCGTAACATTTGAAGATATATATAGGATATTATACATGAAATATATCTAGAATATCTAGAAATTTCCGAAGAATCCATAAATATATAGGGTGTTTCACTTAAAAAAATAACTTAATTTTGGCGTTTGCTTATGGGACACCTTGTATAATATTTTCATTACTGATAAACAATTTATTTCCTATAATTTCGTAAAAAAACAATCTTTAAAAATAACAAGGGTAAGGGAGTGTCAATATATAAAAAAAAACTTTTTTTTTTCACGCTATACTCTGGAGTTATTTTTCCACGCACTAAACAAATATTTTTGTCTTTTTTCACTTCTACATAACCTACAGCATTATCTCCTTACGTCTCCCTACCTGATCTGAAAAATAAGTTTATAACATTAATATTTATAACTATATAAAAGTTCGTAACAATATACGTACTTATACTTAAATATGCCTCAGTACTGGAAAGAATAAATGTTACATACGTCTCTGTTTTTTCCTCGTAATTCAGCACCAATAAATTGGGAATTTGTATTTATAAAAGCAGCCAACATAAAAGCATCGACTTTTGGCAAGTTATCTGATTGTGCTTTTACAAACCCGGAATCTGCCATTACTTAAAAAATTCTCAGAACACACAACACATACAAATAATAACTGCACAAAAAGCATAAAAAGCTCCTTCAATCAACGCTAAAAGCAACAAAATGTCTTAGTACGCCACCTAAATACGTACATAAACTGAACACGTCTGGCTGCTGCTGGCCATCGCGCGTCGACGAGAACGGCGGGTGACGTCAGACCAATAGAATATCGTTTCAATTCGCGAGGCGTCGTTTGCGTTATCCATAGTATTTTAATGGTCCGTTTTATAAAATTGTGGTACTGCTTTCAAGAAAAAAGTTTTTTTTTGCATTTACACATATTTATTCTAATAAATTGAACAGTTTCTAGCAAAAAATAAAATATATGCATCTTCCTCATTAAAATATAAAACTACACGTGATTAAACGATATATTTCACACAATCTTTATGATGAGTAACCACCTTTTTTGACAAACATTAGGGAACATTGTATATTGTTTTTTTTTATTATGTTTTTAATATGGAGGTAAACCAGAGAAAATGTACAGGGTGGGCCAAATTAGACGCGTTTAAGGGAACCCTTTCCTATATAGGAGATAGACGAAAAACAAATATCGGTGTCTGGGACTCAATTTTTTTCAAAAACATGATGGTGAAAACCGCACATCGATATCTGTTACCGTTTCGGAGTTAAGCGGTGTTTTTCAGAAATGTGCATTTTTAACAAATCGCTGAAACTTTTTTGCTATGGAAAATTTTATACTTTTATAAAAACATTTCCAAAGCACCTTTTTACGTAGAATTTAATGGTTTAAGTATATATTTTTTTAAATTAATAATTTAAGAGTTATCAACAGAAAAAATGATTTTTTATTTGGGACACCCTCTATATTTTTAATTAACTGAAAAGAATTTAAAATTACCTTTCCAAAAATATAGCACACTTGATATTTTGTTATAATCCCCTTCGAAATACAGAATTTTTAAATAAGTTCGCCACTTTTAACTAGTAGAGGCTTTGTACCCCTTATTGATGATATGCCCCTAATGGAATTCGAAAACATATGTTTCCAGCAAGACGAGGCACATAGGGCGAGGAGAATTTAATGGTTCAAGTTTTTTTTTTAATTAATATTTAATAATTATATCAACAGAAAATTTGATTTTTTATATGGGATACCCTGTATATTTTTAATTTATTGAGACGAATTTAAAATTATCTTCGAGCTATAGAGTTTTTAAAAATTCGCCCACTTTCAATAAGTAGGCTTTGAACGGCGCCGCACAATGGGGTGTATTTGACACCGATAGTTGTTCGATTTTTTTTTATGTTATAGACCTTATATAAATTATTGCTATTTTCAATTAAAGAGGAAATAATATGAACAAAATAAAGGATAATTCGTCGATTCTAAAAAAAGTCCACGATCAATGCCACTAATGCCAGTAGTAATATCGCATCTAATACTACAAATGCTACGACTGATCCGCGACCAATGCCCATACCACTAAAGCCGCTACTAATGCCAAATTGTGCTATACTGCTAATGGCACTAATGCGATCACTTTGTACACAATGCCATCGCGGTTTACACCTCGCATTAGTATATCACTGATTTGCGAATTAGAGGAAACCAAGAATGTTTTTCTCATTTTATCAGCAAAGTCGCAAAAAGTCGCAGCATTTTATTTTACTGTATGAAAGCCCAATGTTTAGTAAGTAAAACGTATATGTAGACAATATGCTGAATTCTTCGAAATGCATAACTAAATCTCTAAGTATAATAAAAAAAGTCACAAATTTAATCAAATTTTCTGAACGCCTAACTTTTAGTTGCAAAAAAAATCTTTAGTATAGAGAATATCGAAATAAATAATATGTTTTTGTAGAATACAATACCTGCAGCTTGCTGAGCCAATTTCAATCAAAACAATAATATAAACGTAACAGGAGCACAAGAACAACAACAATTTATAATTTTAAAAATAAATTTAGCCATTTACCTCTTATCTGTGAGAAGTAACAACTTTGACGTTTCGTTGAAACAATGAACTGAAATGAATGAACTGAAATGAATGCAACTAAACACACCCATAGCAACGCCATTCATGGCAGACATGTTTTAACTTATCATTTATCTTTTTTTGGGAAATCTTAAACACATTTGCTTTTTCGAATTTCGATCACCTTTTTCATGCTAATACTCCACCGTGCGCCGGCTGTAAAGCAAAAAAAATCTATAGCTGTGAAAACTGTGAAAACGAAAATAATAAATAAAATATGCAATGAGAGATGCAGAATTTTATAATAATTTAAACTATATTTAACAACATCAACACATTTAAACTATATCTAATAACAATAAAAAATAAATAGGAAACCAAAACATGAGATTTTGTTACAGGTGTTCGACATGTCGACCGTCTTCTGTTATGGACGGACCGTTTTTGAAAATTTCTCGCGGAATTCGCGTTAACTCAGTGGGGTTGAAAGATACCCTCGCCTAACCGCTAAGTACTTCTAATTCTTGTCTATAAATTATATGGGCAATTTAAAAATAAGAACATTTATTCTCTCGCAAAGATAAAAATCCATAGACGCTAAGTCCTGCGGCCTCGACGGCCAACGGCTTTTGGGTCTTTGTTCGAAATTGGCTGCAAAAATTTGCTGATAACTTCAGCTTTCTGAGGCGGCCTTGCTGGAACAATATGTTTTCGAGTTCTATTAGGGGCAGATCATTAATAAGGGGTCCAAAGCCAACTAGTTAAAAGTGGCGAACTTTAACTTTTAAAAATTCTGTATTTCGAAGGGGACTATAACAAAATATAAAGTGTGCTATATTTTTGGAAACGTAATTTTAAGTCCTTTTCAGTTAATTAAAAATATACAGGGTGTCCCATATATAAAATCAAGTTTTTTGTTGATAACTTTAAATTATTTATTAAAAAAAATAAACTTATTTAAACCATTAAATTCTACGTAAAAAGGTGCTGTGGAAATGTTTTCATAAAAATACAAAATTTTCCATAGCAAAAAAGTTACAGCGATTTGTTAAAAACACGGCCGTAATTCCGAAGCGGTAACAGATATCGATGTGTGGTTTTCACCATCACGTTTTTGATAAAAATTGAGCTCCAGACACCGATATTTGTTTTCGTCTATCTCCTATAGAAAAGTCCTTCCCTTTAGAAGCGGCCATGCAATTTGACCCACCCTATACAAATAAGGAAAATTAAAACTTTTTTTTCATTTACTTATATTAAAATAACACGACTTTATTCAATTTGTATATTATGTTTATCTTTATTATAAACGGATAAATTCATAAATATTATTATTGTTATACATTATGTCCCCGGATTGTCTTTACAAGAGGAAAAACTTTTTTATTATTGATATTTTGAGAAAAATTTATTCTTCATAAAAAAAAATTTGCATATTGTAAAATGGTTAATCCCGTTTACTATACTTTTCCAAATTTCCAAATTTTATCGAAAATAAAAAAAAATATGGTTGAATTTTTTAGTCCTAAAAATCAAAACGCGTTTCTATATGGTATTATAATTTCATTTTCAATCTTTGATAGAATTTTAATTATTATAATGTCTCATTTTTTGCTGTTTAGAATGATAAAGAAACCCAAAAAATTATTTAATTCGCTGCTAGGGACAGGGTGATAATGGTTATCGGAAAAGTGATACTTTAACAGCATAGAATAACTAACTAAATTTAACAGACTTTAACAACAGCAAAAAATATGACATTAATCCATAGATAAAAGAAAATAATCTACTATTCATTAATCAAAATTAATAATAACCATATATCCTTTGCATATATCAAAGAATTAAATCTAAATTATATTACCATAGAAACGGGTTTTAATTTTTAGGATTAAGGAAAAATTCAACCCAAGATTCAACCATATCTTCATGTTTTCTTAATTTTCTTTAAAACAGTATGGAAATTTGAAAAAGTATAAACAGGATTAACCATTTTAGAACAAGCAAACATTCTTATCAAGGATGCAATTTTCTCAAAATATCAATAAAAATTTTTTTCCTCTTTTGCAGCTCTTGTAAAGACAATCCAGAGACATACTGTATACATATTCATATATTATTTATTTTCATTAAAAAATTTATTTTATACATTTATTTTAAATTATTCAATATTTAAATTATTTAAGAAATTGTAAAAGTAAACCAATATTGAAACCATTCTGCATATATAAATCATTTTTGATATTTTTCAATTCTTCAGTAGATAGGCTGTTGACATCTAAAAAACATAAGGAGTAATCAAGGATAATAAACTGTGTAATAAACACTTATTTTATTGTTATTACCAATTATCTCCCTTTCTTTTCTATTTACTGTAATATGGAATGATTTTGATCCATCAATATTCTCAACTGTGACCTGAGCTCTAAATATATCTGCCGTTGTCTCTTCAACTGAATTTATATAAATTCTAAAGTTTGTAGCATACTTCTTAACTACCTTCTTTAGTATACTCATAGTATTTTTCAATTCGCTCATTTCAATATTAGAATCTAAAATAAGTATATATCAAATACTCATAGATATAGTACCTGCAATTTATTAACAATTTCCTTAATAGGTATTAAAGGTGTGATAAAATTATTTGTAATAACAGTAGTTGTATCTGGAAAAGTACATAATATATCGAAATAACATATAAGTATATTATGAACTATTATCAAAGTGTATTGATTTACCTTCATCGAGTTTCATTTTAGTTTCAATAAGAGACTGTATAGATTTAGATATTTTGTTTGTATCTCTAACACAACTTCGTTCCTCGCGTATAAGTTCATAATTTTTGGATTTTTGATCTTTAGCAGCAAATATTACATCTTCGAAACTACTAATACAGAGATCTTTAGGATTACTTGTGCTAGTATTACTTTGAGATTTTAAAACTTCATCGTTATTTATTTTAAGTGAATCAAGTTCATTTAAAAATGCAGCTTCTCGATGTGATATGTTTGCAAAATTTGCATTTTCAAATACTAAAATAGAAAATAAAAATGGTATAATTCATATTATAATAAAATGTAGATTTTTCTTAAGTAAACAGGTACTTTTAAATAATACATACAGTTACTCATATCCTACAACTATCTCAGCATCAACTTCCTACAGAAATTTATTTTTTAATCAATAAATCTCGATAATTTGGATAAAATTATAAATTTAAACGGTAACTGGATTTTAGGTTAGGAAAATTTAAAAATCTTAATTTTAATGCGTGTATAATAGGCTGCATAAATATAGGTGCAAAGCATAGGAAGCTGTATGGAATAAAAAATATAAAATGAGAAACTAATACCCTTAATAAAATATAAATTAAAAAACCGAGTTGCTAGACAAAAAATGAATTATTTTTTCAAAGTATGTAATATTCTGCAATTAAAATTTTTGATTCGTATAAAAATATTTCATATTTTATTTAGAGCATGAACATTGATGTATATTTAGTTGCCTGGGCTATCTAACAGATATTTTATAACTATACTTAAATATACTAAATTGTTTACATTATAATTGACTTGTTTTAATTCAAATTAATTAAATTAATGTTTCTAAAGTAAAAAGGCAAATCAAATAAAGGAAAAAGGCAGTTATTGAATTATTGATTTCGACAGTTAACCTTCTTTCTACCAGTTCCACCAAAAACAACAAACAAAACAGAAAATATTTCAAACAGTTCATGTCGAGATGGCGTCGAGTGTGGTTCTTGTGTTGTGACGTTCTGTAATAGAAAAATTGAAAGTTCAAAATATCGCGGTGTATTATTTTATTTATTACGTTAACTTTGTTTATATAAATTGTTCGGCAATTGAACTAGAGTTGGACGTTAATTTTGGTGCTATTTTTTAACCATAGGTAAGTGATGAATGAGATCTTTTCCAATAAAAACAATCTAGGTAGATGTTAAATCTTTTTTTGCATGTTTTTCTTTAATATTATTTAAATATGCTTTTTTATTATTAATTTTCATACATCTCGGGATGATAGACTTGAGTTCTTGATACTTTTTAATTTATTTATTATGATTTAATTACTTATAGGTAGGTACATAATATAATTTGTTTTTATAAAAGGAATTCCTAATAAAAACAGGTTTTTTCGGTATCAAAATAGTTATGCAGAAAAACATTACCATGAAACATACAAGAAGTTATTGTTATTATTATGTACGAAATTAAATAGCTATAGGTAAGTACTTGATTTACAGAATAAAAGTCAGTGATTACTTAAATTAGGGAAGACATTCTTGACTTCTAAATACTTATAGGAGAGTATGTAAAAAATACTGCTTTAATTTTATTGTAATCCTTAAAGCATGTCCATTTTCTAGGAATTTTAAAGTAATCAATTTAATCTGTTGAGAATACCATGGTCCCAAATCCCAAATACCGTATGATCGAAAAATAACGGCGTTTAGTTGGCTTGGAAGTGACGATCACTGACATTCCACATATAATTTTACATAAAAAATTATATATAATATTAGTATGTGCACTACCTAAGTATGTGCGCATATTTGAAGTGAAACTTCTTACTCCGTCTGTCTGTCTGTCCGTCCGTCTATCCGTTTGAAGACTCTATTCGGGACCCTTATCTTATCCACGTGCCTAGTTTGGTTCCAATTGACCTAAGCCCTCAACCTCAACCCCTTTATGATATTCCCAATGGGTCATATTTTCGCATGGAACATTGGCTGTATCTCAATAATTATACCTTATTGATTTTATATTGAATTAAAAAATTTCCCAATGCTAAATACTAGAATTAATAAATATTTAGAATTTATAAATGTCTCTCCTCAAAAGTTGAAAAAATTGAGATACGAAGAAGGTTCACAGTTCAAAAATAGCTACAAAGCTACAATACTCCGAATGACGTAAATAATTTGTGTATAAATTTCGACAAAATAAATATGAAATATACAGGGTGTCGCAGAAATAAGTGCAGATATTTAAAGGCGTGGTACTTAGATCTGATCAAACGAAACATCTTTTGCCTTTACCATTTTTAAAATAAATTAATATTAACCGAGTTATTTAACTTTGAAAATTAAAAAAAATAATGGCAACATTTTGAGCGTCGCCGCCACCAATCGATAATCAGTTACAAATTACCTCCCAATATAGGAACATATAAAATAAAAGTGAACTGTTATAAATTTAAATAAAGTCCATAAACTAATATCGATTTTGAAAATAGCTACTAACTGTCACTAGCAAACTGCCATTGCGAAACCAGCCATCTTGATTGCTATTTTATTAAAAGATCGCTTTTTATTCCAAATCTGAGCCAGATAGATATAGGAAACCCTAATATAGTTTGAAAAAGCATTTCAATCTGCTTCGACTTCTTTTAAAAAATGCATAGTGTTTTATTTGAAATAACGAAGTTTTTATGTAAAATAAAGATTTAACATAGACCAGCAATTTTTGATACTCCTGTATACATTTAAAGAAGCAATCATTTTTTTAGTAAAGTTTATTTCTCTGGCTTCAGAGTGAGCACAAGAATTAACCCTGAAAAGTAATGTACAGGGTGTTGACTATTTTTTTTAATTATAGCATGCATATTTAAATATATTTAAATATCTCAAAAGCCAAAGCTATAAAACAACAAACAACAAACATATTAAACCCTTATAATAAATACTTTATTTTATGCTCAAGAATCCAAAAATGAAATAAAATGGGTGTTCTATAAGAAAAAATATAAATTTTATATGGATCTTAGTTCTGACACACCACACACCCTGTACAGGGTGGATCAAATTCGACGCTTTTAAATGGAAACACCCTTTTCTGTAGCAGATAAACGAAAACTAATATCGGTGTCTGGAGCTCAATTTTCATCAAAAACATGATGGTGAAAACCGCACATCGATATCTGTTACCGTTTAGGAGTTACGGGATGTTTTTCAAAAATGTGCATTTTTAACAATTCGCTGTAACTTTTTTGCTATGCAAAAATTTTGCATTTCTATGAAAACATTTCCAAAGCACCTTTATACGTAGAATTTAATGGTATAAGTATATTTTTTTTAAAAATTAATAATTTAAGAGTTATCAACAGAAAAATTGATTTTTTATTTGGGACACCCTCTATATTTTTAAATAACCGAAAAGAATTTAAAATTACCTTTCCAAAAATATAGCACACTTGATATTTTGTTATATTCCCCTTCGAAATACAGAATTTTTAAAAGTTCGCCACTTTTAACTAGTAGGCTTTGGACCCCTTATTGATGATATGCCCTTAATGGAACTCGAAAACATATTTTTCCAGCAAGAAGAGGCACCGCCTCAGAACGCCGAAGTTATCAGCAAATTTTTGCAGGCAATTTCAAGAATAATTGAATAACTAACCATGATCCCAGCCGATGGGCGTCGAGGCCACCTGACTTAGTGCCCATGGATCTAATTGTATGGATATATTTGCGGAAGAATAAAGGTTCCTTATTCTTCCGTATAATCTAGACAAGAATTAGAAATACTTAGAAGTTATGAGAGGGTATCTTTCGCCCCCACTGAGTTAATGAATTCCGCGAGAAATGTTCAGAAACGGCCCCGTCTGTCCATAACAGAAGATGGTTGATATAACAGAAGACGGTCGAACACCTGCAGCAAAATCTCATGTCTTGGTTTGCTATTTATTTTTATTGTTATCAGATATAGTTTAAATATGTTGATGTTGGTTAAATATATTTTAAATTGTTATAAAATTCTGCATCTCTCATAGCAAATATTATTTTCGTTTTAATTGATGCTCACAGCTAGAATTTTTTTGGATTACAGCTGGTGCCATTCAAAGCCTACTTACTTATTTAAAGCGGGCGAATTTTTGTATACTCTATATCTCGAAGAGGAATCGAGCAAAATATCAAGTGTGTTATATTTTTGGAAAGGTAATTTTAAATTCTTTTCTATAAATTAAAGATATACAGGGTGTCTCATATAAAAAATCAACTTTTCTGTTGATAATTCTGAAGTTATTAATTTTAAAAAAATTATACTTAAACCATTAAATTCTACGTAAAAAGGTGCTTTGGAAATGTTTTCATAAAAATACAAAATTTTCCATAGCAAAAAAGTTACAGCGATTTGTTAAAAATGCATATTTTTGAAAAACACTCCGTAACTCCAAAACGGTAACAGATATCGATATGCGGTTTTCACCATCATGTTTTTGACAAAAATTGAGCTCCAGACACCGATATTAGTTTTTGTCTATCTTCTATAGAAAAGGGTGTTTCCATTTAAAAGCGTCGAATTTGACCCACCCTGTACATTTGAAAATAATTTTAAATTATGTACATTGCCTCTCTACATATACCCATAAAGCATTTTGTTTCTACATCTTTCCGTTTTCGTATAATCAACCGAGGCGAATGATGTGCACAAAAAGTGGCACTAAAAAGTTTTTTAGAATTTCCCGGAAAATGTCAAGACAAATTTAAAATTTTCAACAATTTTTTTTCGCAAAAAACCTCATAGGCATGTTTCTGGAGTCGAAATATACTACCACTAAAATATCTGCACTTATTTCTGAGATACCCTGTATACAAAGCTCCTACTAATTACTAATGATTCTACAGAAATGAGTATCTAACTTACCTACAATAAATGACTATTAGTGGATGAAAACTATTATGGCCGAACAAATAGCTTATTAAGAATACCCCGTTCTTTATGATATAATTTGACACTTTTTGGTCTTATTCCAAAATCATTTTGATCCAGACGTGTTTGTCCCGTACTTTTAATTGTATTTGTGTAGGTACGTATCGTAGACGTAGATTAAAGCCGGTTTACACTAACAATCAATAGAACTGAATTATACTGCTGTTTACTAGTTTACTGGTTTCATTAAATAATGTTAATCCTGCCGAATATTGCAATTTTTGTGAATATGAGCAGTTATAATAAAAAACAAAATAAAAACACTAAATCACCACAATACACCAAAACACTTTTACTTTTACACTGGACGCGCGTTTCGCTAACCATGGTTAGCCGTCCAGTGTAAAAGTAAAAGTGTTTTGGTGTATTGTGGTGATTTAGTGTTTTTATTTTGCTGTGTAACACCAAAGGTTCCAACCCTCAACTGTAATCAGTTATAATACTTATAATACTATAAGAGACTTGCAGACATTTGAAATAAATATAATTACCTACCTTATAAGAGCTTGTTATGAACTGAGTGTATGTTATATACACTCACCAGCAGAAAAAACAGGCATCTTAAAATGTTGAGGTATTTTAAAGTTTTATACAGGGTGGGTCAAATTGCATTCCCGGAACTTCGGCAGCATATTCTGCAGATAAAAATAAGTAAAAAAGTTCGTATGAATGTACGTATGTCCTAAAGTGCTTCGTTTCGGAGATACAGGGTGTGGAAGTTTCATTTTTATTTCGGGTTTTTCCAAATAATTTCTGAACTCACATCGATATTTAGATGAAAATTGATGTCTGGGTGGTTTTGGGCATGAGAAATTTGATTGCGATGTCAGGGGGCGCCACCTACATGATTTTATATTGATTTTGAAAAGTCATAACTTTTTGTCCATACCTGTATAAAACTACTGAGGGAAAAAATAAGTATTTCCGTAATTTTTTACGTAAAAAATTGCTACGAGCAACCATTTTCAAGTTATCTGGAATGGACATTACTAATACATGGCATTATTGACAAAAAATAAACATGTTGACTAGATAGTTATTAAGTTATTTGACTGAAATCAAAAATCAAAGTTCTCACCTATCAATCATATGAGAAAACACAAAATGTTGTTATTTTGGTGAAAGTTTGGAACACCCTGTGGAATATGTTAAAAAAACAAGGAATTTGGAAGTAATTTT